ACTAGCGCATTCCTCTCTAAATTAGAACCGCTTATAAAAAAGCACACTCGCGGCAATAATACACTCCGAGTCTTTTCGCAATGTTAAAAGTGTTGACATTTTTTAAGCCTCATACTAGACAACTGTTTATACATGAGGCTGGAGATGGATACTTGTGATATTGGCAGGTAATTTTGGGAGGGGTAACATACAGATACTTCACAAATCCAACACAAATAATGATTATAGAGATATAATGGGGAGAATTTTAAATAAAAAGAAACAGCACTACATATAAAAAGTATACTTCCCCTTTTTTTTTCAATGAAAATATCCTCAATGTCAAACAATGACAAACAAGCACCCACCCACTAAGCGCTTGCACTACACAGACTTTTACATCTTTGGTGTTTGTCTGCTATAAACCCCCCCCCAGTCCCCCGTCATTGCAGGCTGATAGTGAGCTGATCCTCAGCGAGGGGCGGCTAAGGATCATCGTGCCCCTCAGCCACCAGCAGGTGTCTCCCTGGCCCTTCAAAGGCCTGGCTAGTGGCACAAAGAAGGCGGAGCGGTGTTGCTTTAAGCCTTTACAAGCTCTACAAATCCTCAGCTGCTGCTTCCTAACAGGGCCCACTCAGCCCGGCACTGCCTGTCTGACCTTGTGGTTATTGATGAGCGAGTCGACCTGCTCTCTCCGTTTCTCTCCCCTCCTGCCCTTCCCTTCACTCTCTCTTTTTTTCTCTCTGTGTCATCCCTCTTACCTCCAACAGTGAGTTAAAATGAGGGGAAAGAAAGAGGCTGGGCTGCCATTCACCACCCCGGCTTTTTTTCTGTTAAACACACATTGCGATGATACTTCTGACCTCCCCGCTCTGTTAAGCCTGGCTCCACATATTTGCATTTATTTTCTTCCCGAGATAAAAAGTACAAGATAAATTCAGTAATTTAATTTTCAGATATTCACTTAATCAAACACTATTCTTTTGTTGCATCCTTAATGACTAACAAGAGCCAGATTAAAGATTAAACTGGTGGAGATATGACAACAGATGCAATTATGAGATCCCCCCCTCCCATTTACTGTACGGGCTTTAGATTATCTCACAGATGCTATCATTTATTCTTTTCTCTGCGCCCTTACCTAATGTGAACTTATTTGCAGAGATTCACTCCACAGACCCTGAATGTGTGAAGGGAAACCGCTGATACAAGCATTACTTGATGTTAATTTACTAAATTGCAAGGAAGGCGTAACACAACAAGTTGAGAGCTGCGGATTCCTGCACAACAAAAGACACATGAGGGGGGGGTGGGATGGGAAGTGGGAGGGGAGGAGGGAGAGCCGCTTTCCTACCCTATTCAAGGGGGAGCTCAAATATATGTATTGAGTGGGAGCTGTAATAAAACGAAACGGGTGAGGAGATGCAGGCTGGGAACAAATATGAAAGGCAGTGGAGGATGGCGGCAAGGTGATGGCGCACCACCGGAGGATTGGATGAAATTATCTCTTTATAATCAGGGGGCTTCTGCATGGCTGCCTCCTCCATTGCCCAGTGACAGATGAGGCCTAGCTCTTCAAATGGGCTTTTCACAGCCCACCTCTAGGGTAAAACAATGTTTTTCTTCCCTCAGTACCACCACTTCAAAAGCTTTGTTTCCACACGGCACCCCGCAGAGGACAGGATTGTCTCCTGTCACGCACGGTCCATGTCTGTCTCATTACATGTTCATGTTACATAAGTGTACCTTGAAAAAGGGTTGCAGATTTAATTTGATGACAAAACTGTGCAACAGCGGGATCTGGAGGAGGCTGAGTTCAGTTGAATACAGACACTAAGGCAGAACATTATCTCCCGTAAGTAAGAGGGATTGCTTTTCGAACTGTCACAATCGAAACATTTTAGACACCCAAAACCCAACCATGCATCTTCAAAGAGAAATTCTAGTCTGTTAATGTAACGTAGACGAGTTGTGTGCCTCTGCTCTGCAGGATGAAAACAGTCTGAGGGGGGAGAAGAGTAGACAATGATTAGCTTTATCCCACCATCACAGCAGAACAAATGGATCACGAACCCTCGCCGCTTTACACAGACTCTCAGCTGAGCTGTCAAGGAGCAGGGAAGTAGTAAACAGATTTAATTTATTCATATAAATGGCTTGTGAACCAAAACAGTCAGGCTACTTTAGGGACAGACACAGTGCTGTTAGAAGGATATTTGCCGTTTATTACAACATGGGTCTTATTTAAGTTGTTTCGGCCATTGGTTATGATAATATTGTGATCAGCAAAACATTTACTAAGATCTGGGTATGTGGTTCCAACAGGACAAGAAATTAGACCGATTTGAAACTGTGTTGTTTCAACTGTGACATCACAAGTGGGTAAATTGCATGTTTTGCCCAGGATTAGGAAGACAAAAAACCCTCTTACCCGTTACAGAGACACACACTTCTATCGTCAAACTGGACTGAACTCCAAATATCCAGGTAAAGTAACAGAAAAGAAAATACTTTTTTCAAAGGTAGGTTCATTTTTTTTTTTAAACAAATAACTGCTTGAAGGCAGATGCAGGTGCAGTGTTTCAATAAAGACACATTTCCCGCCTAAAGAGAGACGTCTGAAGTATCAAACACACAGAGAGCTGGAGTGGGGCTGTAGGAAGTAGAAAGACAGCAAGCCGCACTGGCCACCATACTGACAACACACACATGTACACACACACAAATCTTCTCACCTTCCCTTGAGTGCTGGACTGGCATCATGATACCATAACAACACCCTCAATCACTCTTAATGTGCTTTACAACACTACATGCCGGGTGTTACACCTCTGCATAGCTGTGTGAAACACCCCCCTTAATAACACACACACACACTCACACACACAGAAACACACCCACCTTGCTAATCGAAAGCTCAAAGTACTGCTGACACTATTAAAACGTTACAAGGTGGCCTAAGCGCAGAAATCAGCATCACTCCGGCACCTCGCGGGGACACGTTGAGACATGCTGCTCAAGGTGATTGCGTCCCCCTGTGTCTTCTATTGTAGGTGAATTAGGCAATAAAGGGCTAATCTGCGCCACCATTGAATAGGGCTTGGCTGTTTGCAGCACTTGCTTAAGAGCGATGAAGATGAGGGAGGAGGAGGAGGAGGAAGCATCTCTTCACTGTGATTTTAATGAGCTTTGATTCCCAGATATGCCTTGTTTTCTTGCGACTGTCAGCCGAGGCCCATGTGAAAGCTCCCCTTTAATTATCTCAACGTTGTGGGGACGCCGTTTTCTTGCTCTGAGGGAGGGGGTGTTTAGTTTGGAGAGGGAAGCTCCAGGACTCCAGGTGTCCGCCTGGTTCTCTGCCTGGTAAGTGGCCAGGCAGGCAGCGGGACAAAGCTGTGTTTGTTCGACGGAGGAAAAAGCAGAGAGGATGGAAATGTGTACGAATCGGCGCTGCTTCCATTGTTGCTCTACAGAATGTGCCATAATCCTCGGCAGGCTCCATCCATTGCTGGCACGGAGGATAATATGAGCTGCCTCCTGCCTGTCCCACCTCCCTGCTCTACCTCCCCTCCCCTCAGCCCTTCTCCATCACCTCCACCACCCTTCCCCCCATGTCTCTGCTGCACACACATATGGACACACAGCCACTCGAGTGCACACACTCTCTCACACCTCCCCACATGGCTCCTTAGCAGGCTTGGGAATGGATTTCTTTTTATCTAATGTGGTTTGGTCTGCAGCTCCAGCGGCAACCATGAGCAAGGGTGGGCTTGCAGTTGTGCCACTCACTCACTCACACACACACAAACACACACACACTCAATCCAAGGAGCCCCGCTGCGTTTGTCGCTGTTCACTGATCTCTCCGTCTTCCCCTCTGTCTTTCTCCATCTCCCATTCTCCCTCTAACTCACTCCACTCCCTCTCTCTCTCACGCAGACCCACATTCACTTTCCTCCCTCCCTCCCTTTCTGCCCTCTCACTCTTTTTTTCATGACAGCTCACATAAGCAAGCCTCCTGGATTCCTGCGGGAGCCCCACGTTCAGTACACAGAGATTGTTCAGCCATCAGGCACATCTGCAGCGTGATTAGAAAAGCAAAGGGAGCATGGTGGTGGGGGCAGGAGGGTGGGGTGGGTCGAGCCCCC